TAGAAATAAATTAATGAAACGAGGATGATAGAAGGAATAGTCCACCAAGTTTATATATTGGACTTAAAACCTTTAATTTTCTGATGTGGGATTGAGTTTGCACACCTTACAAATAACTGGTAGAATGATTACGTTAGTAGTTTCTACTGTTGATTATTTACATAAAATTAATCTTTATGTATATTTACGGTAGAAACTACTGACGGAATTATTCCATCAACGGAATTGTAGTATTTTTCTAAATTTAGTTAATTTATTTATTTGCTTTTATTTCTTTAAATAGATAAATATTTATTTATTTATTATTGTTTATTATCTCTCATTTTTTAAACTTTTTCCCGCAAAGCACAAAACATTTCAAAATTTTCCTTCGAACGCTGGCGATTCATCTCCCTCCATGAACGCCGGCGACGAACGCCTCCGCCAAACATCACCGCTCCTCGCGGCTCATACCTCATCAGCTCCTCCCATGGATTAACAAATCCACTCAATTTTCCGATTATGCTCTCGAACATGCCGATACTCTCAAATCGGCATTTCATCAAACGCCTCACAGGCAAAACGAAACCCATTTCCCAATTTCCTCCAACTCGAAAGCTAATGGCTTCTCATTCACTCTTCTTTTCATCCTCCATCTCAAATGGAAACCCTCGCAAGCTCTACGCCTCTCTATTCTGCACGCTCATCCACCTCTTCCTCCGCTGCGGCCGCCTGTCCAAAGCTGTAGAGGCCTTTTCCGCCATGAGAGAGAACAGATTGACGCCGCAGGCCCCCGAGTGGAACAGTATCCTGCGACACTTTAACTGTGCCGGCATGGTTAATCAGGTAACGTTTGTTTACCGTGAAATGATGGCTTCTGGTATGTGCCGTGATGTGGCTACGAAGAACGTAGTTGTGCACTCCCTAGCTAAAATGGGGGATTTTGATAGGGCCCTCGATTTGTTAAGAGATAATGGAATTCGTAGATTAATGAGCGATATAGTTACTTATAATACTGTGATTTGGGGGTTCTGTAAATATGGGCATGCAGATATGGGGCTCGGTTTGGTTTCGGAGATGGTGAAGAGGAATATCGATTTTGATAATTTCACTTGTAATATATTAATGAAAGGATTTTGTGATAAGGGCATGTTGGGTAAAGCTGAAATGGTTATGGACATGTTCTGCAGTAGCCTAGATGGAGATGATGGGAAGGTTTATAGAGATGTTGTAGGTTTTAACACCTTGATAAATGGTTACATTAAGTTAGGTGACAATAGTGGTGGTCTAGAGTGGATGGAGAGCATGAAGAAAGAGGGCGTGCCTCCTGATATTGTCACATATAACACATTGATTAATGGATTTTGTGAGACGGGAGATTTTGATAGTGCCAAGACTCTCATGGATGAACTCTTAGGTTATCATAATTTTAATTATGGAGCTGATGATGTGGAGGAAATGCATCCGATGGCGGATCATATTACGTACACGAATTTTGTTAGTGGATACGTAAAGCAGCGTAGATATGAGGAAGCATTGGCTATGCATAGTGAAATGATTGCAAAGGGACTCAACCCTGATGTAGTTTCATATAGTTGTGTCATGAATGCGCTTCTCAAGAGTGGGAAGTTAGGAGAGGCCAAAAGCCATTTTTACGAGATGTTGAAGGCAGGTGTGAGCCCAAACCAGTTCACCTACTCAATTTTAGTGGACCATTTGTTTAAAAATGGTAACGTGATGGCTGCGTATAGCTTCCAAAATCAGATGGTTGTTCGTGGAGTTCCATTCGATGTGGTCATGTTCACTACACTAATCAACGGGCTCTTTAAGGTTGGAAGGGGAAAAGAAGCTGAGGATATGTTTTGCCGCCTTTTGGAGTCTAATGTGGTGCCAAATCTCATCACGTACTCTGCATTGATCGACGGTCATTGCAAAATAGGTAACATGAAAGGTGTTGAGTCTGTTTTGCAGAAAATGGAGGAAAAAAATGTTCTTCCCAATGTGATAACTTATTCCTCAGTAGTGAGTGCGTATGTGAAAAATGGAATGCTTGAATCAGCTGTTAATATACTGTTGGACATGGTACATAAAAATGTCATGCCGAATGTTGTAACCTATGCTTCCCTAATAGATGGCTGTTTGAAGTCGGGCAAAAGAGAAATGGCTAAAGATCTATATGAAGATATGAGATTGCAAGGGGTGCCCGATAACAAATTTATATTGGATGCTTTCGTCAACAATCTGAAGAGAGATAGGAAAATGGACGAGGCACAAGATTTGTTCAAAGATTTTGCGTCAAGGGGATTGTTACCCGACCTTGTTAATTATACATCCTTAATGGATGGTCTTTTCAAAGCAGGAAAAGAATCGTGTGCCCTAAAAGTCGCGCAAGAAATGACGGAGAAAAACATTGGGTTCGATATTGTTACCTTCAATGCTTTACTCAATGGGTTGCTTAGGCCTGGTCAATATGATGTGCAATCGGTTTATAATGGGTTGCAGCAGTATGGTTTGGCTCCAAATCATGCTACTTTTAATACATTAATTAAGGCTTATTGCAGGAAAGGGGAGTTAGACAATGCTCTCGCGCTTCTAGATGAGATGAGAAGTCATGGCTTGCATCCGAACACGGTAACTTGTAACATTTTGATAGAAGGGCTCTGTGAATCGGGTAGTTTTAGTAAAGCAATGGAGTTTTTGAAAGAGATTTCACTTTGTTCTGGGATTCGTCCGACAGAAATTATGCACAGAATTGTGATAAATTCTGCTTCAGAGAGTAAAAGGGCTGATGATATCTTTTTTATGCATGAGAATCTCGTGGCCTTGGGACTTAACTTGAATGCGACTGTTTATCAAAATTTAATTACTGTTTTGTGTAGACTAAAGATGACGCGAAAAGCAGCAGCTGTATTAAAAGAAATGAAAGAAGCCGGCTTTCCCGCAGATACTGCCATTTACAATGCTCTGATTCGGGGGCTTTGCAAAAGCTCCCATTTGGATAATGCTTTTGCTATGTACCGTCAGATGATAAACGAAGGAATTTCTCCTAATATCACTACGTATAACATTCTTTTAGGTGGATTCGCCTCATCTGGATCAATGCACCAGGTGGACGAACTCCTTTCTGAAATGAAAGAAAGGGGGTTTTTACCAAATGGGACAACGTTTGACATTTTGGTTTGCGGACATGTGAAGACCGGAAACAAGAAGGAATCCATACGACTTTATTGTGAAATGATAACCAGAGGTTTCATTCCTCATATCAGCACTTATAATCTGCTTATCAGTAATTTCGCCAAGGTGGGGAAAATGAAGCAAGCCATGGAGCTTCTGAATGAAATGCAAGGAAGAGGAGTGATGGCTAATTCCTCAACTTATGATATATTAATAAGTGGTTGGTGTAACTTATCATATCAGGAAAAGTCGGTGAAGAATTTTTGTCAAGCGGAGGCAAGCAGGTTGTTTAAGGAGATGAGTGGGAAAAGCATTACGCCGAATGAGAGTACTATAAAACATCTGAGTTCTGTCCTTGCAAAACCGGGGAAAGTGGTGGATGCACATAGATTGTTGAATAAAGTATACAATACGAAACGATAATAAATTTCTGGAAAGGGAAGTACGGTAGGTTACCTGGGAGATTAATTTTGAAGGGTAAAAAGATATTTGCCCACCTGGAAGAATGAAAATGTACTCTTGGAACACATCAAGGGATTTATACGAAAGGTTAGTACTTCCTGCATGTTTTTGAATCTTACAGTGGTTTAAACTTGTTTCAAGTGCACCCATACTTTGTCTTCCATCATACTGAGAAGGCTGATTTCAAACTAAAGAGATTGAGTTGGATACTGTACAGTCACATGGCAAGAATATATATATATATGTTTGGAGTCATTTGTTTTCTCTTCTAAATTTTAGGTTCTCCGTTATCACTTTAGTTATTGATCTAATCTCCCGAAGAGCATTTTGAATATCAACACTCATATTTCCACGTGCAGAGACTTTGGATGTGGGGCTCGTCAGCTGGTATACACCAAGGGAGATTGAAGCTGGCTGAAATGGAACTATGGTTAATTTACAAACATACAAACACTCCCCAGAGCTTTGATTCCCCTACATTTTCCAACTTCATAAGCAAAAAGCACTCAAAAGTCAAAACCCATCCAGACATTTTTAGAATTATTTCATCCCCCTTAAACATAAGACAAAATCAAACGTCTGGTATTTTCTGTTTAATAAGTTTCTTGTTTCAACAGCTAATTCTCTACTATCTCAGTTGGCAGAAGCAAAGAGGCGAAGCAAACGGCTGCCAGAGGCCGCGTAGTTGATCATATAGGCCAGAAAGTTGGTGATAGTTTTGGGACATTTTTGCACGAGGAACATGAAGGTACCATGTCTTTTGCCTTTATTATATTTTTTGAATATTAAGTAGACAATACTCAAAATCTCTGTAATTGCAGGACTGTCAGGTGATGGGTTCTCCTCCTGTGAAGAAACCAAAGAAGAAAATGATTCGTTCATGAAACGTGTGCATTTTTATTTAGCAATTGATTGAATATGTGATGTTGAACGTTATGTCTCATCCAGGCATCAAGCTTTGGAAGGCAAAACTACCAGAGTTTTTGTGGGGTTTTACTTTTAAAAGGGGCCTTCTTGTATCTTGATATGGCTGAACGTGCCTGCTAGGCAGAGGAGATAACCAGCCCGTGCATTTTACCCAACTTTCTTTTTCTTCCTTTTTTTTTTTTCTTTTTTTGAAAATAAGTTGTTTTGTATATTTATTTTAGGAAGAAATAGAGATTTTATTTATTTATTTATTTATTTTTGTGATTGAATGAAGATTGAATTGTTCACCTCTTTCTTTTTTCCATGGCGGATTTTATAGAGTACCAACAGCATCTATTATAATTAATAACTTATATTAATCTGAAAACAAGTCAAGGAATTCCAACTCCAAGAGTGGATCAAGGTAACATAGAAGACAACTACTAAGAAAGTAATAATAACATAGGAAATGAGGATACTCGTAGATTCATAACACGACGGGTTTATCTGTAAGTTGTAACCAAACTGGAAATATGATTGTTCCCTTTTTAGTATAAATTTAATATAGAACAATGTAGCAACCATTTTCACAACAATTCTGATAAAATTTACGAACACAGTTCTCTCACTAGCCATTCATGATATCATACAGTCAGAAAAGTAGATAATTCAAGTTCTTAAGTCGAAGTAGGAAAGTAATATATTACAGTATGGCGTGAGTTACTTCCGTTTGGAAGTTCTTCGGCTTTCAAGTTTTCTACGAGCAGCTTCAAATTCTTCTTCACTCGGCTCTGGAGCCAATTCACTGCTACCGTATTTTTGAACAAGAGATGAGAACATGGAGTCAAGCTTACCTTTCCTCTCGTTTTGCCTTTGTGCTATTATAGCATACAAGTCTTCCGAATTTTTCTTCGATCTGCAGAGGTTTGTCAGACAAGCATTAACAATTCGGGGCCTCTAACTAGGAACTTAGAATTCAGTGAAGACTTCACAGGAAACAAGACTCACTTCTTTCTGCATCTCAATGGGCTTGTAGGAGGCTTTATTTTGGATACTTTCTTGGCCCATTTCTCATACACCTTTGTTGACTTCAATTTACCTACAGATAGGTGCATTACGAGAGGAAAAAAAGTGAGGATGTGAGGTAGTACACTTATCATAACTTTCAACTACTAATGTTAACTCCAGCTAAAAGTATGAGAAATTGTTCACGATAGGAAATGATACAGAAAGTTGAGAAATAATCTTAGTTGCATCATTAACTAAGATTGGAATCACAATTTAGGAAATCCAAACATGTGAAAAACAGAGTGTTGCTTAGAAAANAAAAAAAAAAAAAAAAAAACCTTCAGAAATGGCCTCGTCAATCATATCCTTGAAGCGGTGGGAATCTAGCATGGGATCAGAGCAAATCATGCAGCAGAAAAGCCTGAAAAACAATCTCAGTTAGTCCATGAACGGAAAAGTGCAAAATATTATAGACGGAAAATCATCAAGAAAATACTTTTCCATGTTGCCCTTCAATTTTTTATACAGCTCAAGCAAATCTTTTTTCTCAGAATCAGAGCCTCTGTAGTTTGCCTCAAACTCTTCAATATCAGCCTCTGTGACCTGTAAATGATATCCAAGTACTTCATATTGCTGAGTGGCATATATCAACTGATAATAGAGAATGCTACCAAGTATCAAAGTACGTACCTTTTTATACATGGACCGGAAAAATGTCCGCAAGTTGTGGATGACATCTCCTGCTAGGTCCTGTTAATAATTGAAGAAATATGAGTGTGCAGAGAATGAGTTGCTATCCCCTTTAACTCTATCCTTGGCAGAGTATGTACACAGGGGAGTAACTAAGTCCTAGTAATAATAACAAATTAACAATCAATCTTAACAAATGAAAGTGTTAAGCCCTGAAGTGAGGTTGTGGTGTAGATATATAAGGGGAAAAGTTGTTCTTGAATAGTTTGGCATTAAAAACGGCAAGCAACTTCAACAAACATATGTCTTAAAAGTATTTAGTATTTACAAATACAATCACGTAGCAATTAGTAAGGATAATTTTAAAGACGGATATTATAAATCCACATCGCAGGCACCTTATAAACTTCAAGTTTCCAGAAACACACTTAAGCTCCATACAAAACATTCATACTCCAAACATTTGGCATATAACAGCTGTAAAAACAGGTGGTATCAAGACTTACAGCATCATCAACACATCCAGTCTGATCATATACAGCACGTTTCTCCTCGTCACCAAGAACAGAGATAACCTTTTGTAGCTGCTGAAATTTTTCCTTAGCTTCCTATATCATGAAATGAAATTATCAAAGTGCTGAAGTCTGAACACAACCAATTTTTTTATGTAAGAGAAGCAAAAGGAACACACCTGTAACGCTATAAGAAATTACCTCATCATTGGGATTTTTATCGGGATGCAGGCGCAAAGCCAACTTGTAGTAAGCTTTCTTTATCTCAGCCTGAGAGGCAGTTTTCTCCACCCCAAGAATCTAAAATGCACACAACCATTTAATTACTACTTGCAAAGCAATACTAAGATTACATGCACATGGTCATTTTGAGTATAGTTATCAAATCCTATATCGGATAGATGGGCACTTCTACCACTTCAGTTCTCCCACTTCAGAGAGAAGAGATACATTCAAAACCTGTTATACGATACCTTTAATCAAAGCCTTCTTCTTAAACACCTCATTTTAATTCCCCTATTTAAGCTAAAATGTACAGCCATAGTAAGAATCCATTAGCCAAGCAGCTCAATTTCATCAGATTCAATACAGACCAGCAACCAATCTCCTCTGTACCTTTACTCAACAGTCCCATCCGGCATATTATCTAATCAACTTGCATCTAAAGACTTCAGATTAAACCAATCATTTCAACAAACCTAACTTACAACACAAACATAAACCAGTAAGAGAAAACTAGTAAACAAAACTATCCAAACGGACCAAACCACAAGCCACACAATTCCTGATGTGAAAAGGGGAAACGCAAAAACCATACCTCGTACAAGCTTGTTCCGGCTGAGGAAGATGATCCGTGGAAAAAATCTCGGTCTTCCTTAATTTCAGCTTCTTCTTCATCCTCAATGTGCTCCTTGGAAACCTTAGCTCTGCTTCTCTTCCCCATTTCGTAAACCTAATTGCAGAGAGATGAAAAAAAGAAGAGAAATAATAGCAAATGGAATTTGAGTTTCGGTGAGCTTTGGTATTTGTAGGGGATGCGAATTGGGGGCAATTTTTTTCCCGCCACTACGCGCCTAAATTTTGCGTGTTTCCTCTGCATCTGCAACGACAAGCCCATTTAGCATTAGGCCCATGTAAAAAAAGTGTGTATCTAGTTTTATTCCAAGAATTGTAAACGAGCCGTTTATTAAACCTTGATAGTCGAGCTCGGCTCATCTATAAGAAATAACAAACCGAACTGAGTCTTAATGAGCCGGGTCATTAAGCAAGCGGTTTGCTTCCTATAACTCTAGCTACTATATATCACTTGAATGATTGATATGGTGAATACTGAATATAAAAGGTAATATATATGATTTTGATTTAGGTGAATCAGTTATACTGGATTGATTTGATTTGGTTAACATATTTTGATAAGGTGAAAATATATGTAAAAGATTAAAGATTTAAATAAATACGATTTGACAATAATTTGACGAGGTGAAAATAAGAAAGAAACAAAGAAATAAATATGATCTTGACAAGGAAACTATATCATAAATTTTAAAACCATATCATTAATAGAAATTATCAAAATGGACCATTTGGTTAAACGAAAATTTGGCCTCGTGTACAGATAATCAAGCTCAGACGGGACACACCATTTAAATATTAACTCAAGAAAAATACTTGCATATATAGTTATGACTAATAACATCGTCCAAAATCATCTCAAATCATAACATTATTAGTACTAAATTAGTAAATCCGGCTTTGCTTGTTCACCTGCATTATCCAAAAACCATAAGCAGCAAACACACTACCAAAGCCAAACTAAGTACCCCAAACTACATATTTACTCCCAAAATATATATATATTCTGTTAAAAACCAAAAGCCCTAAAAAACGAAAAATAATAATAATAATAATAATAACTAGTTCTTCCCCAAAAGGCCAGTTAGCTCTCTAACCACATCATCAATCTCCTCATCCTTCTTCGCGGCAAGCCCGGCCAGCATCGCCGCCGCAGCCCACCTCACCCCTTCTCCTCCCTCCTCCACCACCACCAGCCGGACTGCCTCCGCCAGCACCTCCCCTCGCAGCCTCCCGTCAGCCTCCCGGAGCACCTCGACTCCGACTCCGGCATTCTCCACCAGACGAGCATTGACCGGCTGGTCAAGGTGCATCGGCAGGGCCACCACGGGTACCCCAAACGTCACGCTTTCCATAACCGAGTTCCACCCGCAGTGGCTCACGAACCCCCCGATGTTCTCGTGGCAGAGAATCTTGGCTTGTGGGGCCCACCCCTCGACGACCCTGCCACGCCCCGACCTGCGGGCCCTCTCGAGAAACCCTTCCGGAAGGGACCGGACGAGCGCGTGCCCGTTGAGCCCCGAGTCCTTCGGGAACCGGACTACCCATATGAAGTTGACGCCGCTGAGCTCGAGGCCGAGGGCGATTTCGTCCATGTCGCTCCTCGACAAAAAGTACTCGCTCCCGAAGGAGACCAACACCGTCGACTTCCTCTCCTTGGAGTCGAGCCACGACAGGATCTCCGAGCCTTGCCGGTCGGATGATGATTTTTTCGGGTCGGGAAATTCGACGAGCGGGCCCACCGGGACGATGCGTTTCCCGAGGAGAGAGCCCGCGTAGTCCATGTACGGGCCTTCCATGGCCCGAAATCCCTTCACCAAGACGATCCCGCACGACTCCTCAATCCCACGGAAAACCATGTCCCGGTCGGTCGGGTGTTTGGCGCACTCGAGCATTTTTTCGAGCTCTCGGGATTCGTAGTCACGGAAGCGAATTTCCGGGAAGGGGTAGGGTAGGTCGCCGGCTGGGTTCTTGAAATAGTGGCACATGAGGCTAGCCATCGTGCAGCTGCTCGTGACGAATTGGACGGCCGGGATGCTGAGGTCACGGGCGAGGGCCGGGAGCCACGGCTGGAGAAAGTCGTAGATTATGAGGTCGGGTTTGAGGTCTGAGAGGATCTCGGAGAATTTGGAAATTGTGTCGGGGGAGTTCATGGCGGTTTTGAGGCTTGGCATGAGGCTGGGAGGGAGGCCGTTGGTGGTGTGGAGAGAGCGCGGGAGGTCGGGAGTGGCGGGAAGGAGGATAGGGAGGAGTTTGATTGAGCGGTCGAGCACTTTGTGCTCGACGGACGAGAGGGTGGCGATGGTGGAGACGAGGTAGACCTTGAAACGGTCGTTGTGTGAGGTGATTTTGTGGGCGAGCTCGAGGAAGGGGCTGATGTGGCCGTAACCGAGCCAAGGGAACATGACTACTTTCGTGGTTTTTGTGGACTTTTTGGAGATGGAGTTGGAGTTGGAGTTCATCATCTTGTTGGCTATGGATTTTTGAATTATAGAGGAGATTGAAAATATTTGTGGTGAGTGAATGATGTTTTTGTGGGGGAATAAGGGAATGTATATATAAAGAGGGGTGTGTCCTTGTGTGTGCATGGATGGATGAGGATTTGCATTGTGAGAGGATGGAAAAAATCGTTATGGGATTTGGGAAGAAAATAAAGAGTAACGTTTTTGGTCATGAATGTGTATAAGATAAGGTGGGTTATTAAAGATGGTGAATATTATTGCCTTATGTATTGGATATTATGGTTTTTGCCGTTAAAAGTTGAGATTTTTTGTTTATTTTAGAATCTCTTGTTGCTCTTTTTATGCAAGAATTAATTAATTTTAAGTTTTTGTTCAAAAATTCGGGTTGATTGTTTAATTATTATAATTATAACTTGAACTAACAATTATTATAATAATTTAAATTGAAAAGAAAAAACGACGAAAACATTTTGAAAATAAAATACGTTTAAGGAGATTTAGGATTTAAAAAAAAAATTGTAGAAGTATTTATGAATTAATTAAGAACATAACGATAATATCAGTAGTTAATGTTCCCAATATATGTCCTTAGTTCATGTATATATTTCAAACAGCAGTGATAAAGGATTTCAGATTTACTAATTATTTTTTTCGTTACTTCTTTAAGTTTTTTCATTATTCTTTTTCCTAATTATAGTATAATATTACCATTCAGGATATAAAATAATTAAATACATTAAGATCAGGTAATTTTTGGATAAGGATTTGTTAATCAAATATCATACTATATATATTTCTTATTTCTTTTGCTTTTTAGTGAAGGAGATTATATTATCCATGGAGAAAATATTATCATACTATATATATTTCTTATTTCTTATTTCCTTTATAAAGTTTATTATCCATGGAGATTATATTTCCTTGCCTTACATATGAGAAGTAGAAAGTTACCGATAATAAAATACGAGATAGTAGTAGAAAGTTCTTACCATGGAGAATATATTATCATACTATATATATTTCTTATTTCATATTATTTTTTTTCCTAATTATAATATTATATTAGTATTCATAATATAAAATAACTAAATACATTAAAAATTTATTGATTATTAAGGTTTGGTGAGATTTTTCGAGCAGAAACGTTCAATAAATAAGAAATTTTAACGACACTTTAATTTTACACATTTTTTCCATACTTCCTAAAGTCATATCAAACTCAATACTTAAATTAATCTGCAATTCCGACGTAAATTTAAGAAATATAGAGTCACATCAAACTCAATTCCAAGCACTCTATTGAAATTAATTTTTAATTTCAAAATAAATAAATTTAAAAAAACAAAAATTATAGCGCCAAATCTTTTATGTGAACAGTCTCTCACATGTGATTTCCTTCTTCCAATAGAAATGTACACAGTAATGAAATATTTCTCTACAATTTTTCATTCACATTAACCGTATTAACCATAGAACACACACTAGTAAGTATTATATGGTTTGCCAGACCTCACGAAGAAGGTCATACCTAGCGTTTGCCCAACCATAAGCCGTTTTTGCGCCTCTTACAACAGCAGTGGGGGACTGAGGTGGCTTGTCGATAACAGAACTGAGACAAGACTCCAGCTCGTCCAGCTCGTCATCACTGGTGTACCCTTTCCTCTGCACGGCTGATTGATTTCGTGACAACCGAGGATTTTCATCCGCCTCAGCAACTTTCTCTGATATGTCGGATGGGAAAGGGGCTGTGTACACGACTGGAGCAGCTGGGAAAGGGAAGCTAATGGGAGTGTCTCCCGATAATCTACGCTCCATGATGCACTGTGGAAGACGAATAAAAAAAAAAAGTACAAAAAATACAAAAAAGGAATCCTTATATTATGCACTTTGCAGCAATTTGGGTTCTTCTAAATAACGCATGTCATTTTTCAGTGTTTTGCTGACATTTTTCTTTAACTATTTTGTCAGCTGAAAGCTGGAGAAAAAAAAAAAAAGTGATACCTAACACATGAAACCGAACAACAGCATACCTCAGCATTGACAGCTTCTAACACAGCACCAGGAACAGGATCCGGACAGAACTCATCGGGAGAGAAGTTGCAAAGTATCCTCTTAACCAATGGGAGACTGATTAATGGACATACCTATAAATGAACGACAGGTGGATGAATAATCTGCACTCGCTACAAATTTCATAGAATGGGGACTAAATGACTGATTGATTTTCAAATGGTGTACCTCCAGTCTTATCGTTCGTTCCATAAGCATATCTTTGGGAAGCATGAGGAGATCACTCAAGGAGTTGAGTAGAGGGAAGGTTTTGGGTTCCTCACTAATCCTCTGATCATCATCAAGGCTATTCTTCTCGTCAGAATCCATGCCAAGATTATCAGACAACCATCTTGTCCAATTGCCGACCTGAGAGATGTGTTTCATAAAATAAATAACATATTACAAAACTTACACAATTTGTGACATTTCTTTTTTTCTTCTTCCTGAATATATTCATCGGAATAAACACGGCCTCACTGAAAAAAAAAAATCTTAGTAGGCATGGGATGGAATGAGGTCACTTACAGCATTTTTAAGCTGAGCCCCGGATCCAAAACTCAAATCCCCAGCAGGTATAGGCAAAACCTTGGACTCCAAGATTGGATCAGATACGGGATCAGTGGGAATCTCATAGGCCGACTCACGGAGAATAGCATTGAACATGGCCACATCTAGCCTTCCAATACATTGTTCCATCACCTAACAAAATACGTAATATGTTACAATTCGAGTTTGTCAACTCCATAGCATGTCCCGTAAAATTAAGATTAAGCCCACAAAAAAGAAAAAAAAGATATGGAAAGAAGCAACTATGTATTACTTCAGTCAAATTATAAATCAATTATAATTTTCCTTATTGCAACACTACAAAGCATGCAGACAGAACCTACATCCATGGAGCAGGCCTGGCAAAGGGTAATACCATTATTAAACTTACACACCTTTCTTGCTAGCACAGGTAAGCAACCACATTCATGCCCCCCGGCTCGAACAGGACAAAGTCTTTTGATAGCGTCGTGAAAGGCATTATTCCACAGATCAATGGAGAAGTTTCCTTGTTTTTGATCACCAAGGGGTGGGCCCAGCAACTTCTCAGCACAGTTTTTTGACATGGAATTACCAGCATGTGATTGCATATTGGGCGCCAGAGTCTGCACCAGAAGAAAGAGTAGTTCAAAATCATAAACTTACATCCACAAGCACGAGATATAATGGTGTAAACATATGTAAAATATTAATTTGTGATGTTTATTTAATTAGCCATTTACAATGAGATCCAAGCATTGGTTAAATATAAGATCGTCTAACTCCTCCATTAGAGAGTTTAGATTTGTAAATCTAACGTTGAGTTAGCTTACAGAATCAAATTAGTCTGAAATGACTGTATAAGCCATAGATTTATCACCTGCCACCATATGGACTCGACTATCCGTGAAAATATCCATGATTCGACTTTCTCCAAGGCACATGTGAAAGTTCTTGTTTCTTGCCAATCATCAACAAACTGGAAGAAGCTCTGCTTTTTTGACTGTCTGCTCCCAATACTGGTCTTCGGTTTAAGCTGGGAAGACCTTGTTTCGCCTCCACCCGACTCGAATATTTTCGTTAAGGCACTGGACTGGCAGGAACTTCCAAAAGCCTGAGATATGATTTCCCTCAACACAACAGTGTTGGACAACCAAAAAGTCAACCTAGTAAAGTAGGAAGATAAGAGGATTAATAAGCTAAACAACTTAGAAAATACTTTCAACTATGGGACTAAACTGAAGACAATGAACCTGGACACGTCATTGCCGCATGACTTTGAAACGGTAACAAGCCCAGAGACAGTGTTTCTAGCCACAGTAGCTCGCTTGTCTGGGGACCAATATTTGCAAGCATAGATATAGAGCCTAGAAAGGCGCCTTGCGGGTGTATGCACCTTGTGTGCCGAGCTACCGTGCTCGGGCACCACAGAATAGAGAGAAATTTCAAGCGCAGCCACTTCTCTTAGTTCGGTTTCAAGGTTCTTTATCCTGTTTTCCATTTCCTCAACCTTTTGGTCTAAAGCAGGTGTGTCAGTTTGCATTGTATTGACTGCGTCTTCATTACCACAAACACTGTTAATCCCATTGGGAGCCTCACCAATTACTCGGCCATTGGCATCTTCAGACAAATCCGATATTGGTTTCGGATGGACTTTCATGTTTTTCAAATTATCAATGGAAATCTTGGGGGCCAGCAGAGAAATCCCCGTTATTTCAGCTTTAGTGCTTTCCTTTGGCAACTCTTCTGATGATTTGTCCTGCACATTACTTGATTTGTTCTCAGGTTTCGATCTGGGTGCATGTGTATGGCCATCAGAGGGGTCTTTGTTATCCAGCATCACAGCAGGATCAGCCTTTTCTGGCCTCTCATCATCACCAGTTTGTGAATCCCCTAGAGAAGAGAATGAATCATTAGCAGTCTCGGCATCAGATTCATCGGCAATCTCCATATCACTAGAATTTTCATTTGATTTTTCATTGCCTTGTTTCTCATCTACTTTAGGTATTCTAGTATCATCATCCACACAAATTATGAGCGTATTTTTGTCAACTTGAGGTGGATCCACGGCAGCTTTCGTCTCGTTGACTAACATGTTGCTGATCACTTTTTCATGTGGTGGTTTGGTGTTATTCTGTCTAGCTTTTGGGTTTCTGCCGCCATTCTTCTCCTGTGGCCTACGATCCCGTGTGTCAGGCCTTGCAGAGCGGACCTTTTCTTTGTTATTGGGACTCTTTTTATCCTTCATCCTCAAAATTCCCTCCTTTTTCACTGGATAAGAATGAAGGACCACCCAAAATCAGAGTACAGGTAGTGACCACATAAAGGTTTAAGAAACACCATGGACCCACAAAACAATGTCCATCTCTTTCAAAGATAAACTGGGTGTCCCCTTCTTTTATTTCACCATGATACTCTCTATCATCGTGGATAGCTCGATTCAAGAGACAAAGCATTATCATAAGCTAACTTCAAATTCAACATTTTATTTAGAGAGAGAGAGAGAGAAACAAGCAAATTACTCTTACCATTCAGATCTATGGGCCAACAAAGGTACAAGAAAAGAAGAAGAAGAAAAGGGCTAAAGTACTGATAGACCAAAAGGTAAGAACTAAGAACACAACTGAACCCAAATAAAGAAGGCACATAACAAGCCATAATATACATCCCTATCAACAAAGCATCAGAAAGAGCATCTGTCTGATGGACAAAAAGGAACCTGAAAATATGCAAAACCTAAGCACAGATCAAACAACAGAACCAAAACTTCTTACTCATTTATGTTACAGATCCAACTCCTTCGCCGGTTATGCTATTTCTTCAACAAAACAACTGAACAAGTGATAATTTACTTCCGATTTCAAGTTCCACACTGGAAATGCGTCGAAAATTGACCGGCGAATGAGTAAACACACCGGAAATTAAGAGGTGATGAATGAATGTCGGCGGTTACAAAAGTAATGCTGGAAACCGTTACCCGTAAATGCACGAATCCCGTATATACACACACTCAACCGCCACCGATAAGCCAAATATAAGGTTATAATAATNCGCCACATCGAAACGAGTACAAAAAACAGGATCCAAAGCAACAAAATCTAGCCATGGAAACCAGAGCTCACACCAAAAAAAGCAACACCAAAAAAAGGTGCTTCGAAACTGAAACTTACGACAGAAAGCGTAGAACGATTTTGTTTCACAAGCTTTTGCAAGGCTACAGCATCTACGCCGAGGTCAGAGAAATTGAAGAAGCTTCTTCATCCAAAAGCAATAGAGAATGAGTAGCTTAGCTGCCATTTGTGAGTATGTATAAAAATGGTGGGGATTCGCAATTTCAGAAGTTGTTGCTCTGTGGCTGCTGGCGACCGTGGCTGCAATTATGGCCGTGTAAGCGTACGAAGAGGGGATATATATTTTTTAATTAAAAAAACATTATTTTGTATATATTTTGATTTATTTTATTCTATTTTATTTATTTATTGAGAATTATAGAAATGAAAGGGAGAGTTTGACCGGCGGAGGGGTGTCGGTGAGGGACCGCCACCGGGAAATCCCGGTCACGGTTACGTAACGCTTCCCATATTTTATTTATTTATTATTTATTATGGGGATGAAAGAAATTAGATAAATTTAATTCGAATGTATATGTAGGTTTGGCTTGTAGAGACCGGTGTTGTTTAGCAGATAGCATATAGGGTATAGTCGAAGATTAATGCATGATTCTTTAGTCGGGGGATTGTATTAGTTATTTGTGGATAAATATTTAGCGGATTGTAGATATTTTTGAATAAATATTTAGCAAATAACAGATTGTATGTCTATTTTAAAAATTTTATGTTTATTTTATCATACGAATCCTTTCTTTCAAAATGTTCCTAAATTGATTTTTTTGCAGAATTTTCGCATTCAAAAAGTTAATCAAATGACCTTTTTACCAAACAAACTAATTAGCATATTTCACGGACTAAACCTGCATATTAGGTTAAATTTGCTAGTATATAAGGTTAAATTTGCTAATTTTATACCGATCCACTAACATCAAGGCCAATATCAACTAATAGACAAATGATAGTTTATAGGAAATTGTCATGATTGATTTAACTAATAATTATAAATGAATGTTTGATAAATAATGATTTGTATATTTATTTTGGATATTGTGTGTTGTATTATTTTTACCCATAAATTTATTTATATAAATGTGAAATTCTCAACTACAAATCATGAAACTCTTGCAAGGAATTTATTCATTTGAAAATTAGAAATATAGTCAACAACCTAAAGTGAAGGCGTTCACCTGTAACCCGTCCATTTCCACATGAACCACCACCGACAGCAACATTCCTGGCCGCTTCTTTCAATTATAATTTAATAATTTGATGTAGACCTTTATAATGCAATTTACCGATTTTATCATATAAATTTAAAACCACCTATTATTAATTTATTATGGTCACCAATTCGACAATATTTGTTAACTCTTCCTTTTGAACTGAAAAGACTATTGAATTTGTTTTTATATGCTTAAGGATATATTTTCACGTTGCAATAATGATTGTTATATTCCCATCTTTTTGTTTGGACATTGAAACAATATAATATACCAAAGTTGCTAAACAAGTTAAATGCATTTTTACAAGAATTATCTTCAGTTGACTGGTGGAATAGAGATCTCATCTTATTTGTATTTTGATTTTGACGGACCCATATATGGTGTGATCCAGCCACGATTTTGCTGTCCTAATAAATACATGTCAATGACAGTTAATTTTTAAACTTGAAGGCAATAATATATCAGATGTACACAGTTTCTAATGCGTTTCTGATTTTGAAAAAAACCTTGTGAAATTGATGCAAGTGTAAAATGAACACATAAATTGCTAAAGGCTCATAATTTGGTTGGAACCAAGTTCATAATTGCACTCAATCAGGTCCATAGACATGATGAACAAAGCTAGAACACGAACACATGTTCGGAAAACACATTAAGGCAGGTCCCAGTTCGACTCGTTTAAACTAGCTGTGTTCATTTTTCACTCGACCAAAGCATGTTCGAGTTTCGGAAGATTAGTAATAAAACAAGTTCAAACACAAACCATTGACACTTGAGGCCACCATAAGATAACAAATAAATGTAAATGAAGGAAAATCAGTCGACTCAAAAGATATGTACAATCAAGGGCCAACAGCCCGGATATAACGAGATCACACAAGAGCACTCACTAGACTATTCATTCAATTTGATTTTTTAATTATTCCTTCTACCAACTCATATAGAAACGAGAACTGCAGTACTTCACTCGTGCTAACTTTTCTATGTGTCGACTAACACCACCTCTAACTAGTAAAATATAAGTTCACCTTTAAGATTGGTCGATGCATATTTCTCATCACTAAAACTATGACTTTGAAGGTTGGCCAAAATAGAAGTACGATACCAAATAAGACTCCACAGGAAAAACAACAACAACAACAACAACAACAATTTTTGATACATTGTTACAGCATAAGAGTTTCCATATGCATAATGACTCAATATGGTTCATAAATATATTTGATACACAAAGCAAAGGTCAGCAAAAAAACTTTCCCATCATCAACCCCTCTCCTCGATTTATTATGTTCAATCACAAGTTTCGCACATTTGATAGCAATTTGATGTATTCATTTCAACAACAATTGAGTACAAGGATTGAGCTGAGAGCAAAATTATGGTAAAAAATAGTACCGCCAATCACCTCAAAAACCATGTACAACAAACTTAACATGTCCATCTACACATCCACAAGCATTTCCAGAAGTCCACTTCAAGAGATAAGGATTGTGCATTCAGAACAAAGTTGAGATCAAATGAATTTTTCAAAATCCTTAACCGATTGAAAATAGACTTATACGAATGTGGAATCACACAAGTGGAAAAAGGGAAATGAACGATCCCCAATATTTGACATATGCTCAAGCAACACAACAAGATAGAAATTATAGTTCAAACAACAGAAAAGCAAATGCACTAAACTACACAAGAAGTTTTAAAACCGAGTATTCCTATTACTGAGAACAGAAAAAACTCATATTTTGAGCTTTGCACATTCCTTCATAAAAATCCAGTGACACAGGCACGTCGAGATCCATCAAAAGACGGGACAAAAAACTAACAACGCCTACACGTTTGGACACTACCGAGACCACTTTTAACCAACTTTCGTACACTTGCCTCCTCAGAAAACATTCATAATGAAACACATTAGGTCATATCACACAAGAAGTTAATCTAAGTTCATTATTCTCAACTCTGATATCCAATCTACAATGCACACAAAACATAATAGTCTGTCTACTCTAATCCATAACATTTATAACATCCTGCAATTCATAGTACTCGATATCACTCCAAAAACAACAGTATCATTTCAAATGAACAAACAAAAAAAAAAGAAGGGAGTGCAATTATTTCTTCAAACAAGTTTCACTGCATTAAGCACTGATAATTCAGGGAAAAACACCCTTCCGCCAACATAATGGGGAAGAAAAACAAAAGATACCTCCTTCAATCGGACTCAACGGCCTCGGCAGATTCCAGCTCGAGCCGCTCGAGGGCTTTCTGGTGGGCCCACGTCTCAATCGTGAGATCGGGCTTGGCATTGAGGCCCACTCCGAGGATAACTATGGTGAGGAAGCTGGTGATGTAGCACGGCAGCTCCCAGTCCTCCCATTTCCGGGACTCGCCGGGGGGAGGCGGGGTTCGGTTGAAGGCGAAACCCTTGGGGCGATCCTCGTGGCCTGGGCTGGTCCAGCGGCTGGGACCGTGTCCTCCGCCACCTCGGGTGCGAAGGGATGGACTGAGGCGGGCCCGGAGAGTGGTCGCCGCGGTTGCGAGTGGCTTGAACGGCGTCATTTTTGGGAGCAGAGAGAGTTAGAGAGATAGTGCAGTGATTTTGATGCGAGTTGATTTGGGATCCGAGTTTGGGGAGCGTACATACGACGTCGTTCGCCTGAGTGGTGCTAGTGCATCTGATATTGGTCCTTGGGGTTTGGGGATGATGCATTTGTGCCCCTAGGATTTTAGGAGAAATTGCAATTTTGGCCTATGTCTCAAGCTTATGGTAGAATAGCTTGAGCTCAAGTCTTTTAATCTCATTAACTAAACAAGTCACTAATTGAGTCCGACTCGTTTATTAATATTATTAACAAGTCGAGCTCAAGTCTTAATGAGCTTATAAGCTTGAATTTTAATGAACCGAACTATAAAAAATTAATACAAAATTCTCTTTTCGAGTCTTAACGAACTAAGACGAACCCGTTCCATTGATGAATCGATAAAATATTCTCTTTCGAGTCTTAACAAATTAAGACGAACCCGTTCCATTAAAGAATCGATCTTTAAATAAGCTTTCATTTAACAGCTCTTTACACTTTTCAAAGTTTGCAGTTAAATCTTCTAATTAGGTGATGAGGGATGGGATGTATTTTTCTTTCTTTTTTTTTTTCAATTGCTCAATTAAGTTATATGTTTTGATTTTGCCCAAAACCAAAACAATGAATAGTGTATCCTTCAATTGTTAATTTGTTATTTGCACTAGTTAGATTGAATAAATTGGAATAACTGTAATTTATAGTTATATTAAAAGGTATACTATTTACCAGATTTAGTATAAAGAAAAATCAACAACATTTATTGCATTACTATTTCCGTATTATACAATCTATACTTATATAAAAAGAGATTCTATTTACTATATTTATTATCCAGAAAAGTCAACTGCATTAAATGGTATTACTATTTTGGTATTATAATATTTTATTTATTTAATCGATTTATTTATTTGTTTTATTTTAAAAAGGTAAGTATAATAAAAAGATTTTAATAATAAAAAATCAAATACCAAATAAAAATGTACACTTTGACTTATTTGATTATATTTGGTATTTGATTATACCAAATATATTCTTATTTAGTATATACATTAAATACTTACTAAAGTATTTATTTGTTTTATTTGTCAAAGTTAAGTATAGATTTGTTTATATTATCAAATCATAAAAAAAAATTAAATCCATATATAAATATTTTAGTGAGATAATATATTAATTATTTTATAAGCTAGCCCTAACATGCTCATATTTAATGTTTTAAAAGATGTAGAAAAAAAAACTTATAATAACTCTATTATTTTTTAGACTTAAACGTTGATTAAAAGAGGTAAAAATTCCTAATTTTTTAGACTTAAACGTTGATTAACACCATAGATTGAGAGTTTATATTTAGTAAAATTCCTAATTGTAAAAAAAAATTAATTTTTGCTATATTTTAGAATATCTTTAAATTCAATATTAAAAAAAAGAAAAAAAACTACAATGAAAAAAGCAAGTCAGCTATATATCGATTTGTTATACTCTTCAAATCACATTCACAATTTGGCTACAAGGAAAGGAAACTCATTGATTAATATATTATTTTGTCAGTAGTCTTAATGTACAAGAGACTTTAAGACTCCACTTGAATATTATAAAACTTTTATTGAACATTGTACAATTTTCTTACGTATTATAAACTTTTATTCAATATTGCATCTTATAATATAATATTTTCTAAATAAATATATCTCATGCTTTGCACGGGTCACGTACTATATATATCCCGTACATATTTTTTTTTATCATGTATATAATTATAAGCCTAGATAAGCCTTAAAATTGTGCACCCCGTACATCGCACGGGCTCTGTACTAGTTATAGTTTTCACATATATCGATTTTTGTTAGCAATAAATGCTTCATATCCCAACTGCCGATGTCAAATTCATAATTTTGAAACAACAAACCAGTTCATCTTCAATTGAGCTAAAAAACCACGGGTATTCTTATAATTATGCAAATGACTTAACAAAAACGGGTTTATTGCACCAAATCTCCCTGTATTATATGAAATCTGCACGTCTTACCCTGGTATTTCAAAAATTGCGTCAAACCCCCTTGTATTTAATGTATACGTGCAGACTCGCCCCTTTATGTTAACACCGTTACTTTAATACTAACGGCATTACTTTTTTGTTTAATTTACCATTATACCCTTGCTTTATCAATGAATTTATGATTATACCCTGCTGTCAATATGTAAACTTAAAATTAAAATCTCAAAATGTAAACTTAAAATTAAAATCTCAAAAGTGGGGATTGAACCCTGTACCTTTGGGTTGAAAAAGACATCTCCCACCAACTGGGCTACTCAACATGTAGTTATAAATGTGATTCTATTTATATATATCTTAACGTATAGAAAATATATAATAACAATTAATTATAAATAATGTATTAATTAAATATATATATCTAAGTTATTAATAATATATTGATTAAGTATATATATATAATTAATTATAAATAATGTAGTTAAGAAATATTTTCTAACTTATAAATAATATAATAATTATGTAATTCGATTATAAATTACTAATATTTAATAATTAAATTAATATATTTTAAATTATAAATAATATAATAATTGAGTAAATATATTCTAAATTACTAATATATAATAATTAAATAAATTTATTTTAAATTATAAATATTCTAAATTATAAATGATATAATAATTAATAAAATAGATTATAAATTTTAAAATAATATAATAATTTAATAAACAAATTTAAATTATAAATAATATAACAATTAAGAAAAAATATTCTAAAAAATAAATAATATAATGATAGATATAAATTATAAGTAATATATTAGAATCTATTTACTCAATTATTATAAAATATAAATATTGAATTATTATATTACTTATAATTTATAATATCATTAAATTATGTATATTTAAGTAATTATATTCTAACTTATAAATATTTATATTAATTGAATAAATTATATTCTAAAATATAAATCATATAGTAATTAAGTAAATATATTCAAAATTATAAATAATACAAAAAATGATATCTATCGCAATTACACGATCTGCGTAATTAGATACACAAAAAATGAATAATATTTATTAAATAATATATCAATCTCGGTCATTTCAAAATTAACAATTGGTACAATCTCGGTCATTTTTTCAGAAAATGGCTTCGTCATCCTCGAACCCTCGACCCTACACCCCACACCCCGGCCCCAGTGATCCGTCACTTCTATATCTTCAGAACCGCCACCGATCCAAGGCGGTATATGAGGACGCACCGGGGTTTCGCCACGGCGTGGTTAAGCCACGCCGTTCGGACACCCAGTTCTGGGCTGCCTTGGAGGACAACNCTAGGAACTTATGGGAGTTAGTTGTTCATCTTGAGACCGAGAGGAGATAGATAACAATTAATATCTACGATTTGACTTGTTCGAGAGAAAGGTTTGAAATCAATTTAGCGATTATCTCTACGATTGGTAAAATTAAATAAGGTTTGTTTGAATATAAACGTTTCATGAATTAATTCCGAGGAACGCTTAGCCTAGAATCTACCTTTTGTTTCTTTATTTATTTTTATTTATTTAGATAAATTAGTTTTTAGTTTAATTCTTAGTTTATATTCATCATTCAATTCACTAGTCTAAATAATATTTAATCGTCGTTATTTTAGTACTTAATTAATTTAACTACAATCTCTGTGGAATACGACCTTGCTCGCCACTACCTATAGCTACGCCGTACACTTGCGGATAGCGAAAATAATTAGCGAACATTTATATATTTTTTAAATATGTAAGAAAATATAAAAACTAAATAAGTGAAATAAAAACAAATCATATATTATATATAGAAGTATCATTTTATTTTATAATAAATAAATTTAATTTAATTTAATTTATTATTTTATTATAGTTAATTTTATTTTATTTTGTTATATATATTATGTTACTACATTAATAAAAAAAACATATATTTATATTTATATTTATTTTTTTATTTTATTTAAATTAAATTATCATTAATTTTTATATTAAATAGTAATATATTCATTTATTATTTTCAAACTTCACATTTAATATAATTTTTTATTATTTTATTTCAATTAAATTTTATTATAATGATTTAGTTTGTGATTATATTATTTTTTATTTTTGTTTGATTAAGTTTTCCTCTTGTTCCTGTTGCTTTAAATAAATGTGTATTAATTTTATACAATATAATGATAGTGGCACAGTGGTTTAAAGTCTTGACTAGTGATGTTTTGACCCAAGTTCGAATCCTATGAGGAGCAGCCAAGCATCAATTTTTGCCCAACAAGTAAGGGGCAAAATAGTAATTTTTTTTAAAATAAAAAATATATGAAAAAATTGAATAATTGCCGCATTACATGAATGTGTGCTGCACGTGAAGTTGGACGGAGAGGGGGGATTCGTGCAATTTTTGCCCAACAAGTAAGGGGCAAAATAGTAAATTTTAATTTTAAAATAAAAAATATATGAAAAAATTGAATAATTGCCGCATTACATGAATGTGTGCTGCACGCGCTGTGAAGTTGGACGGAGAGGGGGGATTCGTGCAAAACTTAGTTAATACGAGGGGGTCTGACGTATTTTTTGAAATACTAGGGGAAAACGCGCAGATTTCATATAATACAGGGGGATTTGGTGCAATAAACCCTAACAAAAACCACTCTGTAATTTGCTCAATTCTCCAAAAGTTCCATTATGGTCCTCAAAACTAGCCTCTACATCATGCATCTCTCTAGTTCTCTACTCCCAAGCTCGTTGTCTGTACACCCCAGAATAGAAATTCACCAACGAGACATTATTTACGGTCGAGGGCAGAAACTCAATTGGGTTGTTCCATCCCTTAATGTTCTCCTCGGCCCACCTCATGCGCACATTCTCCAGAACCAGCCCATCAATGTGTTCCATCAAGAAACCGGCACAGCTGTGGTTCACGAGCCCCTGGCAACCGGGCCTGTAATCCACGAGCCCATCTGGATAGTCCGTCTACCTTTTGTAGGTAAAGTTCACGTTCAAGAACTTCACATTGCTCAGGAGCCCGTTTTTGGAGCCCGACAAGAACACACCATTTTCTGAAGTGGCTGTGATGTTTATAAACTGCAGGTTAGATATGGAGCCTGTTTTTGCGTTGCAGTCTCTTGGGCAGGTTGTGACGTAGATGGGTTCGGCCCGGCCCCACCAGGACGGGTCGTAGTATCTGGTGGTGATGTTGATGTTCGAGAAGGTGACGTCACTGACATTTCCTGTACAGGCAAATAGTTATTCAGAGTGAGATCAAAGAAATTGTATAAATTTGAAATTCATCCCTAACAAGATTGAATAGATTCTTGGAGCCCCTTATTATTTAGGGATATTCATAATATGTCGAGTTAATTACTGAAAATGTACATACCTGTGGTTTAGCTTAATTACAGAACAGCACAATTATCTTTACATTTACAAATATCCCTTGATATCATTTTTTTCTTTCTTCAACAAATTGTCTCTCTTAGAATTAGTTAGTTGTAAGTAAATACAAGATTGCAAATGGGTGAGTTTCACATTAAGGAGGTCTTCGTAACAGATACAACACCTCAGCCTCAAGCTCATAACTTTTTGAATCTTAGGGTAACTTTTTGCTGCTACATTTATGTTAACATATAATCTTATTAAACCAAGTCTCCACTAATATAGTTTGGTAGGCAAGATCACTATCCAAGAATTAAACTAAAAGACCAACCAAGTGCATAGCATAGCCACACTTTATATCATATGGCATTTCAACATGATCAGTCTAATCTGAATATTGCAGTAAAACGATGTGCAAGTCAATTTTAAGAGGGAAAAAATTGTGAACCCAAATTTCTTTTACCTCCATCACGTATTTGAAATCCGAGGCCTCTGTGAGATTCAATGATGGTAATATTGTCAAACACCAAACCCTTGAAAGCATAGTAGCTGGCACTCCCGAGTTTGATGGCCGAGGACTTCGTCTTGATCGAGCAGTCAGTAGCAGTGAGATTGTAAATGGGACCAGTATATGTCTTGGGGCAGATGGCATCATCTCCAGTATTTATGGTGCATCTTGTTATGAGCGTGTTGTTCGAATCCTCAATATCTATGCCATCATTGTTCGGCGTATTGAAGTCTCCATAGATTGAAATGTCGTGAATCGACGTGTTTTGACACTGGACTATGTGCAAGCTGCAATTTTTCATATGTGTGTACCCAGTTAGGCGAAAAAAGAAGTACAGGAAACAAGAAAATAGTCGTGTGATACTGTGATCAGCATTCGATTATCGTACAATTGCAAAAATCAACCCTGCAATACGATCTTCTTACGAATTCACAAATTCACAGATTAACATGTCCATTTATCTACAAAATTCACAAATTCCATCATGAAAAATTCACAGATCACATTTCACACAAGAACAGAAACAGCAAATACAGGACATATACAGCAGCAACCACCAACCAATCGTACAAGCAGCCAAAGCACAACGTACCACCAATAAGCCGGATCATTGAAGCTCACATCCCAGATCCGCACGTTAGTGCACCCGATGAACCCCACCAGCCGCGGCCGGCACTCGTCTCCCAGGCACGCGCCGGTCTGGTTCCAGCTCACCATCACATTCTTCCTCTCGTCAAACCTCGTCACGAAGCTCAGCCCCTGGCCGTTGATCTCCCCGCCGCCTGTGATCCCCACGTCCGTCGCGCCATCCGCCACCACCACGTACCACCTCTCCTGCCGCTCGGGGTAGTCCGCCATCCTCGTGCCGCCGAGGATCGCGGCGCCCGTCGAGATGTTCAGCACGACGCCGGATTTGAGGCGCAGGGTGGCGGTAACGTAGCTGCCGGGCGGGAAGCCGACGTGGCAGGGGCGGCCGTGGAAGGAGGACGCGGCGGAGCAGTCGTCGATGGCGGATTGGATCGCGACGGTGTCGTAGTGGCGGCCATCGGCCTTGGCACCGTAATCGGCGACGGAGATGGAGAGTGGCGAGTAGGATCGTAAAATTGGGAGGCGCAACGCGGCGGGATTTGATTGGAGGAGAGTGTGAGCTAGGAGAAGTAGGGCTTGGATAATTAATTTCATAGTTAATTTATTTTTGGATAAGATTTTGTAAAAGATTGAACACTTGCCGCATGAATATATACTAGGACTTGAGTGGTAAAGTTAGTTGTATTTCCATTTTTTTTTTNACTTTTCATAAGTTTCATTTTTAATTTTAATGTGCACATCATTCAATTTTTTTTCCTCTTTCATCTCTTATAATCATGAATCTCATAAACTATATATATATTTTTTTTGGTGCTACATGTTTTCCACAATATTTCTACCAATTATATTTATATCCTCAATAAATTCATTTACTAATTGATGGTAGGTTTTGTACTCAATCACTCACTTTTCATAAAGTGCGTCTAATTCACAATTCAAAATGCAACTCTCTTTATGGGGGTGAATCGGGTGATTAGTTGTAATAAAGTCCCATTTTGGTTGCCAACTGACTTTTTATTGCAAAGTACGATAGGTTAATGGTTGGAGTGTTAAATATGAGAAGGCAAATTATTTGCCAAATACCCTATTTTTTTTTACTAATTTAGTATTTTTCTAATGTATATATTATTTTATTGCCAAATAATAATAGTTACATTAGCAGGCTTAGATGATGGATCACGCTTAAATATGACCTCATTCTGCATCTCTTAAGATAAGGCCCACGGCCCGTAGAGTTGAAGTAGGACTTAACTGGCCCGCTTCTGAACAGAAGATAATCCAATATATAAATGAAAAGTTTTACGAAGTCCCCGCCTTCGACCCTTTCAACAAGGATTGGGATTGATCGCAGCTTTTTGTAATTGCACTCCGTTTGCCCTAATTCCAATTTCATCACCGGTTTCAAATATTAAATCAAAATCCAGAAATCGATAAACCCCCAGTGTTCTCGCCCTTCATGTCCGATCAACCTTTCCACATGTAATCGGCGGTGGCAACGAGTATCTGCGGCTGTTGAAGATTTTCCGAGAGTGGTTCTTTATCGTATGGTTTTCATCTTCTTGATTGGAAAGTAGCTTGTTTAAATAATTAGGAGTTTCTAAAATTGAATGTAATTAATTGAGATGCAATTGAACTGTTGTTAATTTGGATTGCTGTCTCTAGTGTGAAAATAGAAGAAAGCGATTTTTTTATTTGATGTTGGTGGTGGTTTTGTGATTAAGACTCTGCATTTTTTCATTTGGGTTTGTTCTGCTATTGAATGCGTGTCAATTGTGTGTGCAGATGGATTCGGTGCTCGGGGAAAAATTGTCCAAGTTTCAGAAGCAGCAAGCAAAATGCCAGTCGACACTTGCTGGTATTGTGTCGAAAGCAGGATTTTCTAAAGGAGCTCCGTCCCCAAGCGGCCCAGATTCGGCTAATGCAAAGGCACCAGTCAAATTTTCAAATGATACAGAGCGCCTTCAACACATAAATAGCATAAGGAAGGGTCCTGTTGGGTCGCAGATCAAACGTGTGATTGATTTTCTCTTTGAGGTAATGCATTTTCTCAGTGTATGTAGAGAACTAAGACAAGTACTTGAAAACTCTTCCACTAGTTGTTTGTTTATTAAGATATATTCATTGTACTCAACGTGGAGCGGCATGTTCTTTATGACCCAATTTCGGGGAATGATGTGTATATACGTGACGTGATAAAAGCTAGGTTTCACATAGAAGCTCATTTTTCATATTTATATTTCATGCATTGATGCCAACTAACTTACAAAACCTTCTATAGAAATGTTGCTTTAGAAGAGGGTCAGTAGAGTGTTTAAAGTTTGGCTCTCTCCACGTCAATTTATGCCCTATGCTTTAGCACTTTCATATTGTTAATTGAAATTTGAATCACGTGTCTTAGTTCTGTAACTGCTTATCCGTGGCCTAACCATACAAAACTTTCTAGTAGTCTGATTTTATGATGTGGTTATCCTTAAGGAAATCGGCTAGCTTTGCTTTAATATACTAAGTAATTATAGAATATTCTGAATAATGGAAAGCATCTTTGTGTACAACAGACTCATGAGAATCATATGTGATAATTGTTTTTATTGGGTTTCTATGCCTTCTTAACACAAACATCTCATTACTTTCACTTGCGTAGAAAGGAACATGAGTTTTTCCTTATAACAAACAAGAATTTGTTTAATGCCAGACAAGGCAAGTCTTTACCCCTGAACAAATAAACGAGAAGACCTACGTGGATGTAAATGCAAACAAAGCTGTGCTTGACAGTTTAAGGAACAATCCAAAAGTGAGTTATGACGGGAAGCGGTTCTCTTATAAGGTAAATTGTCATTTATCTCTCTGCCCAAACCACCAGTTACACCAGAGAATACGTAGTAGTTCTATTGTTTGCCTGAAAACACACACGTTGTTTTCAACTTAACTTGTATGATAACTTGCTCTGTTTTATGATATTTTGGCAGTCCAAATATTCTTTGAAAGATAAAAGCCAACTTCTTGTCTTAATTCGGAAGTTTCCGGAGGGTATTGCTGTTGTTGATCTTAAGGATGCCTACCCGACAGTTATGGAGGACTTACAGGTAACTTGGCCACCTTGTCTGAGTAGACTAAAATGAATATTTTCCGCCTTCCACTTTGTTAAATACATAATATTTGGGTAAATGCTTGATATTACTAAATTCATGGAGAGTAATATGTTGATTGACTATAATTATGTAGTCCTTGAAAGCCTCCGGACAAATCTGGCTATTATCAAGCTTCGACTCACTAGATGACATAGCGTACCCGAACGATCCCAGAGCTGTTATAAGAGTCGATGATGATCTAAAGCAGTTGTTCCGTGGGATTGAACTCCCACGGGACATGCTTGACATTGAAAGAGATTTACAGAAGAATGGGATGAAACCCGCCACAAACACTGCCAAGAGGCGGGCCGCGGCCCAACTTCACGGAGTTGCTCCCAAGCCCAAGACCAAGAAGAAGAAGCAGAAGGAAATCAGCAAGAGGACCAAACTCACGAATTCTCATCTTCCGGAGCTTTTTCGAAACCTGAACTCCTCAGGTTCATGATTCTTGTTTATCCGTATAATGTTTTAGTATAGTGCCTTACTATAAGCCTAACAAGTTGTAGCTACTGAAGATATATACACAATGTTGCCAATGGACGATGAGAATGCTTTCTTTTGAGTTTTATTTATTTATTTTTTTATTTTATATTTATTTCTCTTTTTGTATGGGATATTGAGTTTCTTTACATGCGTATGTATCTACTAGAAATGTGGTTCTCCTCTCTTTACCTGGCAATAAGAAGTTTGTAAAAGGTGAGAGGTGAATTGGCGAGGATGAAAGTAAGTTTAAATTAATAGGAATTTTGCGGACTTTTTAACTTATTCACCATTTAAAAAAAAAAAATAGTACTGAAGTTGGATATAATTACACAGACTTTTCCTTTTACCTTTTTACTTTTTACTTTTTACTTTTTGTTTTCATTTTATTTTATCCTTTGTGTTTTACTTGTTTCTTGCTTTCAGCGAGTTCTTTTGTCCATTGCCATGTCCTTTATGCTGGATTTTGAATCTTCAGTGCATCCATGCATTTTACCAAAAAACCCCTATTAGTGCATTCCGATTCTCTGACAAAGCACAATATTTATGCATGTGCTATTGGGCCTTGGCTGCATGATTTCCCGACACCACTTGATCCAAAAGTTGATGCAATTTTTCTTATTTACGAACAAGTCCTCTCAGAATTTGTAATCTTGTTATGTACACTCATTTTTTTATATTACCTTGTAAAGAATAATAAAGAGGAATTCTGGATAACTGTTGCACTGGAGTGCACATTCATAATAAGCCCAAATCAAGAAAGTTGGTATTAAGACAGCAATTGAGTACATTTATATGTCCAATTCAAGAAGTTAATAGTTTTCTCCCTAAATGTCTTTTACATAATTAGTTTTTTGTGGAATTTACATCCCATCCCTTCATATTTCATTTATATTACACTTATACACCCCTTTTATTTTTATTTATAAACTAGCTAAACAAACACAATAATATTACCAATATACCTAAGATTCAAGTCAACCGTTTTTAAGATAATTTTGGGTAAATTAAATTTGATTAGATTATTAATTGGTAAGATATATTATTACCAAATAGATGTTATATCTCTCTCTGCAAAACTGTTCTCCATCTCTATGCAAAAAGCTTCCATTCCTTTCTCCAATTTTCTCAATGGTGAAGACAAAACTCCCTATCTCTACTCGAAAAAAAAACCGACAAATGGTGGGCGAAAGACTGGTTGTGGGCGGCGACGGCCATGGATCAACTTCACCAGGTTCCGATCGAGACTAACGACCGTCTCCGTAGAGATTGTGCACATTTATATTTATATATTTTTCTATTCAAAGTTTTTTTCCCTTTTTATTTATTCTTTTGATCAGTTGTATAGTCTGTAATTCGAAAAGAACATCCATCATTCAAGTTACTGTTTTCATTCCTTTTTTGGTGTAATTTATTTTTACTCTCCTTCTCAATAAGAGCATGGTACAAGAGTGTAATTTGAATGCTTTCAAGGACTCCATTTATTTCGTCGGGATACTTTCTGTTTTGTTTTTGATATGTTTTCCTGTTTCTCGATCCTCGTTACAAGTGTCTTCTTTGGAATTTTTAGTTTGTTGAGTATATGTACAATATATGTACAGTATATGTTCATGGCAGTATATGTTGCATGTATAGGCAGACAGTATATGTGGTGTGTATAGGGAGTATATGTTCAATATATTAGAAGATTTTTTATAAACTGTTCAGTATATGTTGTGTGTATATGGAGTATATGTTCAGCATATTCAGAAGATTTGTTTGTATATGGAATATAAGTAACTGCTATAATATGTTTGTATATACTTTTATATCTAAAAGTAAAAAAAATAAAAAAAAAATAAAGAAGACATAATTTTTTGATGGACGACATGTTCTTCATTGTAACATATACTGAATATATACCAACATAAACGCAAAATATACCACCTGACGGCTACGTGAATTACAAATGTACAAACTGCGTGAATTAAGGAATTAAATGAGTCAGTTATTAATTTTCATTTCTCTCTCTTAATCAAGCCCACAAAAAGGGGGATGGAAGTTGAATGGATATGGTAACTTACTTTAGGCATTAATGTAGTTATATATTACATATTAGGTAGAGATGTAATTATTTGTTTATGAATTGTGTTTTTACAATATTTTTAAAATCTTGTAGGATAGATAGAAAATTTCCCTAGTTTTTTTTTAACAAAAACATTTTACTGTGATTCCTAGTTTTTCAAAATATTTCATTCAACGTAAAAATGGAATATTTGGATTCAATTTGAAATTTCCAAGAAGATATAATCCAAGTAATAGTCACATGAGGAAAAGCAGTCCTTTGGTGAACACTGAAAAAGCTTTGCTTAAGACAACAGAAGAAATAAATCAAAGATCCCTTCATCAGCTTTCTTTTTTCACTCTCCCATCCCAATAACATGACACTTCAAAATCTGTATTCTTGTATTGATTAGTAATACCAACAACACAAACAAATCCAATTGAGGACACACATTTGGATAAAAAAAGCAAAACTCATTGCAATCTTTAATTACACCACCACCTCCACTTGAACCAACCTCGAAAAAAGCCAACCCATTTGATTTCATTCAAATTATAATTATAATAACAAAAAGTACAAAACCCTCTCATCATCTCCCTCAAACCAAACCCACATTACTCATTTCTCCACTGCAACTCCTCATTGCAGAAGCATTTTTCGTGTTTTTTCAATCATACCCACAAAGCTCGGAGCTTTATTCATCATCCCACATTGATTTCCTCTCTCAATGCATAAAAAAGATTGAAACTTTACACAACCCTTTCGTTTTCAAGCCTTTTAAAGATTGCATTTTTACTATGAACTTTACAAGCTTGGGTTGCTTTGTTAAATTCTTCTACCTTTTCTCCTTTTTAATTTCTGTCACATTTTCACTAAACCCAGATGGGGTCTCTCTCTTAGCTCTCAAAGCCGCCATTCTTAAAGATCCAACTGAAGCTCTCATTTCCTGGTCTGACTCAGACTCAACTCCTTGCAGGTGGGATGGAATCAGCTGCGATCACGCCCACCGTAGGGTGCTCTCCATTTCTCTCCCAAGCAAGAATCTCACGGGCTACATTCCATCAGAGATTGGTGCCCTCACATTTCTCACTTCTCTTGATCTCTCACAAAACTCTTTCGGTGGGCCCTTGCCTCACCATATCTCTGCCCTTCAAAACCTCATACATCTTGATTTATCTTCCAATAATTTCAATGGCTCACTCCCAGAAAGCCTGAGCAATCTGACTCATTTGTCAGGGACTTTAAATCTTTCGTATAACTCATTTTCCGGCGAGATTCCGGCGAGTTTTGGTCAGTTTCCGGTGATGGTCAGCCTTGATCTCCAGCATAATAATCTTACTGGCAAAATACCTACGGTGGGCTCGCTTTTAAACCAGGGCCCAACTGCATTCTCTGGAAATCCTAATCTCTGTGGTTTCCCTTTGATTAATAATCCCTGTGCAGAGCCCGAAGCACAAAATCCTAGGCTCTTGAACAACCCTCAACGACCCGAAAATAGCAGGCTTTCCTCAAACGGGCTTGCGGCCAATAGAAAGATAAATAGTGGGCCGGTCACAATTTCTGTAATTTCAGGGGTTTCATTTGTGATTGGGGTGGTTTTCATCTCTGTGTGGGTAATCAAGAAAAAATGGAAGCTTGTGGAGGGCAAAATGGGAAAAGAAAATGTCGCTGGTGGCGGGGATGCTGCCATGGCCGTGAGGGTGGGCTGTGAGGAAGGGCAAAAGGGTAAATTTGTAGTCTTGGACGAAGGGTTTAGTTTGGAATTGGAGGATTTGCTGAGGGCATCAGCTTATGTAGTGGGGAAAAGCAGGAGTGGTATTGTGTACAAGGTGGTGGCCGGCGGTGGCGGGAGAGGGGTGGGGCCGGTTTCCGGTCGCCGGTTTCCGGTGACTGCCGCCGTGAGGCGGCTGAGCGAGGGGGAGTCGCGGTGGAGGTTTAAGGAGTTTGAGGCTGAGATGGAAGCCATTGGTAAGGTGCAGCATCCGAATATCGTGAGGCTGAGGGCGTTTTACTTTGCCAGTGATGAGAAATTGCTGATTTCGGATTTTGTTCCGAATGGGAATTTGCACAATGCATTGCACGGTGAGCATTGTTTATTTGAATGTTTTCGATTGTTATTTTTTTATTTGTAGTTATGTTGGTTCGTTTTAAGTTTGGGAAAATCTGTGTGTTTATGCAGCCACGTCCTTGAGTATGATCGTAAATCAGAATACATAATACATTCACCGTCGAAAGGCTTCACGATATGGATTTTTGTTGATAGTCTCAGACCCACAAAAAGCATAGCTATTTTAATCCATTCTTTTCCCATTTGTGTTAATTAATTGTTTGACCTCATGGTGGCTTTTGTAATTATAGCAGGAACAAAAGATTTGATTCTTAAAATGCGATCCCTCAGATTTGATCTTACCGGAAACATTCACTTTTTATTAATCTTGATAATACTAACTTCAACACTAAATAATATCCTCTTCTTTTACATCATTGGATTCTGTTCATGTCATAATTGGGCAGAATAATAGTCATTGGAAAATGATCATGACAGACATCAAAGTTTTCTGTAGCATAAGTTCACACAGGGGTATAATATGTATTTCAAAGTTTGGAGTTTGATGCATCGAATAATTGGCAATTATGATATCTGGCATGAGTAAGTTTTATTTCATTACATGACTTTAGTGATAGTCAGACCCACAAAAGGCAGTGAGAAAAGTGAGCATGATATTTATTGTTTACACAATCAAATGTGTGCATAAGCTTACGAGTTGTTATGATGGTCCGTTGATTAAGCTTATGAAGGTGCTTTTACTCTGTGTTATCTTTCCTTCAATTAGTTTCTCTATGCCAACAGAGTACGAAAAGATTATTAAATTCGACTAGTTCGTTTCAAGATTTGCATCTGGTAGATTTAGAAAATGAGTATTTTGAAGATTTAGTGGTCCTCTGCTGCTCGAATGGCGCAGACAGCAGACTGCACGTGACAATTCCGGCTTTTCCGTGCGAATTAACACAAATAAAAAACCTATCTTTCAGCATTGCAATAACCATTTATACAAATCGGTCGAACCTAATGTTCCTTATCATGACTGTACAAAATTTTGAATTTTCCCATGTTTTTTCATTTGTCCGGTGCAGGTGGTCCAGGCAACACTTTACCTCCACTCTCATGGGCCACAAGATTTCGGATCATTCTAGAAACTTCATGGGCACTTACGCACATTCACGAATGCAGCCCCAAAAAACACATCCATGGGAACATAAAACCGTCGAAAATCCTCCTAGACGACGAGCTAAAACCGTACATTTCTGGTTTCGGGCTGACCCGGCTCACGCCAAACGGGTCGAAATCCACAAGCACGAGTTCCAAGAAGCTAATAAGTCTTAGCCAAGATATCATGAGTACCAAAAGTTCAAGCTCGTCAAACATTACTATAGCTGCTGCTTACCTGGCGCCCGAGGCCCGAGCTCATGGTTCCAAGTTGACCCAAAAATGTGACGTGTACTCCTTTGGTATCTTGCTTCTGGAGATTCTTACGGGCCGGGCTCCAGACAGTGAAGGGGATAACGGGCTTGAGGACTTGGTGAGAAAGGCTTTTCGTGAGGAGAGGCCATTGTCTGAAATTATAGACCCGTCTCTTTTGCACGAGGCCCACGCGAAAAAGCAAGTGGTTGCGACTTTTCATGCTGCATTGAGTTGTACCGAACGAGATCCTGAGTTAAGGCCGAAAATGAGAACAGTTTCGGACAACCTCGATTGCATCAAAATGCAGTGAGAGAGTATGAATTAAGGCATGTCTGTATTTTTGTAAAGATGTTTTTTCCTTTCTTTTTGTAGCATGCAATCTTGTGTTGTGTTGTAGACTTGTAGGTGCATTTTTCTTCTACTTTTATGGGTAATTTTGGATCTTAAATCCCGAATGTGGTGTTAGTGTCTTGGGGCAGTTGCAGTGCTTCAAAGTTTCAGAAACATATATATTATTCGATTTGGGATGAGTTTTGACTCTCTTCACTTAGTAATTCAAAATATTATAGGAAAATACTTTTGATAAAAGGAAAGAAGTGTGTGTGATGAGAATTTGTATGAGAATTTGCATGAGAATTTGTAGTTAACTATATCCCAAGAATAAGAATATACTGCAAGAATTTTCCATCAATCTCTTTACCCCTTTTATATATGCTTATCAATCAGCTTGAATCTCATAGATTCTTCAATCATCCAGCTGGTCTATATTTATTGACATATTCTTCTTCAAGTTTTTTGTACATATAATTGCTCTTTGATTTCTCTTTCTTCAGCTTTATCCATTTGTTTTTCCAAGAAGCCAGGCATCTTTACCTGCATAAATGCCATGGCAGTATGGCACCATAGTTAATTATTTATTTATTAATTTGGATCGGCACCTGGAGCTAGGACCAGTCTAAGTGGGTCCTTCGAATCAGTAACAATGAACCTGATCAAAATACGATCACTATTATTCAAAATATTTTAAAAACAAAAATTATATATCATATGCATATATATGTTGGAAATATTTATTCCGAGATACACTATTATTCATACTTGGAGGCATAAAATTTATATATAATTTTTTTTTATGTGTAGTAAAAATAGTATATATATAATTTAAAAATATTAAAACGATTTACCCAATTCCTCAATTGATTCGATAAACCGACTATTGAAACAGTGATCCGAAGGCCAAACCGATCAATTACCGGAACCAAAACAATGTGTTCTCCAATTTAATTTCATGCAGTGCAATGCACTAAAGAGATATCAAATTTTAACAAAAAAATCAATAGAATGATACTATAATATTATAACTTTCGATGAAAAATAAATTTACTAGCATATTTCGCTAGTACTCTTAATCTTAGAACATTTTTATTCATCAAATTAGCAAACAATTTCCAAGAACATGAATTTCATCTAAGTAGCAGTATTCTGCAGATAACTTCAATTATTTCGATGAAAATTCTGCAAATTTGATTCTACTAGTAACGAACATTGTTTTTACTGAAATTTTTCACTAAATCACATATAGTTAAATACACCCGCATTTACATATATCTAATAATAATAATAATAATAATAATAATAATAATAATAATAATAATAAAAGAGACTGCACTAACTTCCAAAGGTTCACCCGTGTCTCATAAAATTTTGTTTATTTCCTATGAAAGCCATGCCCAAAACAGCAAATTGTGCAAAATACCAAAATAACACACAAATCTAAGCTCATTTCTTAAAAAAGAAAGTTCATTGTAAAAAAGGCTGCACCATTTTCCTCCTCCACCAAATTTGCATCTTCTTCCTATTTCTGTCCCAGTCCTCATCATCTCCACTTTCTCTAACTAACAAAAAAATAAAAATAAAAAAAATCAATCTTTCTTTTGCCTAAATTTACAGAGCACCTCTGTTTTTCAATCATGGAGTTTAGTGGCAATAACAACAACAGGAGCCAAAATAATTCTGGGCTTTTGAGGTATAAGTCAGACCCCACTTCTTTGCTGGCAAATCTCACCAACATGACATCATCTGGGATCTCTTGTGATGTCATAAATACTGTGGATGTAATGAAGAAAGGTGACAATAGTTGCAACAAGGCCATGAATTCACAGCTGCCACCTAAATATACAAGGAAAAATGGTGGCCAAAGCTATGTTAAACCTGTTAATTATTATTCAGCTGGGATTGATTATGAAAGCCATGGAAAAATTAGTTCAAGCCTTGTGAGGCAAAACAGCTCACCTGCTGGATTGTTTCCTCAGCTCAATCCTCAAAGTGGTACTAATTTTGTTCTGTTTTTTCTGCTTTTGAGGAGATTGAATTATGTGTTATAAGTGTTTTTGTTTTTTTTTTTTTACTTTTTAGACTGATTTAATTTTGTTATAGTTTTGCATTAGTGAATTGAGTTTTGGCGAAAAAAATATATCTGTCCGGACTTTGCAGGTTATATGGGGTCGAAATTTGATTATGAGACAAATGGAAGTTCGTTCACTAGCTTTGGATCTTGGAGCAATAGTTACTCGTGTGACGCAGAAGATTTCTTCAAGAGTGATGAGCTGGATCGTGATCGAGCACCTTTTGTCGATCATTTTCAGGTTTATTAATTAAAAAAGCTAAAAAGAGTCTTGGATATAATTATTGCAATTAGTCTTCGTAATTTTGCTGTTTTAATGTTCGGTTTGGTTGATTTACGTACGGAGATCTTCGTTTTATTGAATAATAACAATCAGATTGAGGAACATGGAGATTCACACAACTTATTAAGTGTACCAAAGACTGCAGCTCATGAAAAAACCGATGCTAAGAAGAAATTATTGCATTTCGAAGACACGGTTCCTTGTAAAGTTCGTGCCAAGCGTGGTTGTGCCACTCATCCACGTAGCATAGCCGAGAGGGTAATTTTATCATGACCATTTTTTTTTTTTTTAACGTGCATGCTAGTTCGTAATTCTTGAATGAATTCTTCCATTAATCTGATTTTTTCCTTAGTGCTTGTGGCATTATTTTTGGGAGTTTTAGTGTTTTGCACTTTTTTTTTTTGTTCATGACTAAAGCAGAGAGGATTGGTGTTTAGAATGTGTAAAAGCTATATACCTTAAAAAACAAACTTTAATGAAGTAGATTTCATGTGTGGTACAGGTGAGAAGGACAAGAATCAGTGAAAGAATGAGAAAGTTACAAGACATTGTTCCAAACATGGATAAGGTACTATATATATATATATATACAACCATTTTTTTACTTCTACATTTGAATTTTTTTAAAGCCTAATAAGGTTTATTATGGTTTTGGAATGCAGCAAACAACCACAGCAAAGATGTTGGATTTTGCTGTTGAGTACATAAAAGACCTACAGAAACAGTACAAGGTAATGAGCTCATAATTTTTTTGTGGATATTCTATTTTTATTTGATCAATTTTGGGTGATTAGCCTTACTGAAAAATTCATGGTTAAATTGCAGGCTCTAATCGAAATTCGTGCGAACTGCAAATGTTTGGCGTCTGAGAAGGTGAATCTAAATGAAGCACTCTGAATTTTGTGGCTGGCATGGAAAAAATGTTACTGAGAAATGAAGTTTTGAAGATGATCAGTATTTGGTAATGCCTTAAGAAGAGTAGAAGTAGAAATAAAGCAGGAGGAACCATGAT